CTTACATGTAATATAGCTCCAGAATCACAGCTATGGAGAGGCAATGCAACAATAGAAGGCTTTGATGAATCAGCATAATCAGCAAGGTTGATGGTAGCCTCACCAAGAAGGCTGGATCGTGAGGAACCCTGATGCCAATCAGATTCAGGTGAAAGACATAGTTAATCTCAGTCAAAACAAGAAGAGGTTAAGAAAATCTGTTCTAATTGTGACTAGAAGTGTGGAATAAACTGTCTACGGATCAGAATTTGCAATTCAAATTTAAATCACGCAAAGAGTGTGTGTGTGTGTGTGTATGTACGCACACTCAAATATTGCAACTTAAGTATAAGGATTAGGATCAGACCATCGCCACAACAAGCTTATAGAGTTTTTCATCGAATTGTTTAGTTTTAATGTCTTGGAGAAGCCTCGTAGTCTCATAGATTGGATCAGCCCATTTGCAAGTTCCATTTCTCACATTTGCTTTGGTTGTCTTTGAAGTTGCTTTTCCAGAATCAGCAGGAATGAAGGATATATACAGTTTATCCCATCCACTTTGTGGAATCTGAATTGTGCAGAAAAAATATATATAGTATACAGTCATTGTGACAATCAAGATGAATGATGCATCAGAATATATTTCCCAGTTATGAAAGATGGACAAACAATCACATATTAAATAAGCAATATATATAGTAGGAAACTTGGGAGTCTTTTAGCACAGACCAGATGAAATGGAGAAAGGGATTCGTTAGATGATTCAACCAGTATAGGGCTGAAGTCTAGTTGACTAAAATTAAAACATCATATTCTTCTTCCACTATTACGGTTGATATGAACAATCAAACAATGTAAAATGGCATGCAACTCAAAGCTTACCACTTAGCAACAACATAAGAGTATTTTACGCACAGACCAGATAAAATGGATGAAAAGGATTCACTTGGATGATTCAAGAAGTTCAGTCTAGTGGACTAATGTTAAACCATTCTAAATTTTCTCCCAGTATTATGGTTAATATGAATCAACAAGGCTAAAAGAGGCATAACATAAAGCATTGACATAATTACCAATCAAAGCATTAAATTCTAACTTTCATCATATGGATGGATATTCCGATTAATTGCTTGTTTTTTCTTCTCATTTACATGGATGTTGTCATGTATACCACTGCGTGTTTTATACCTTCTAAAAATCTTTACAAGTTTCAATACATCATGGCCCAAATGCAGGACTCAAGATGGTCATGTGTCAATTGCGGGAGCATGAGGATTGACACTACTCTTATAGGAGGGTGTATCATACACTAAAAAATGCAATCTGCAGTCATGGAACAGGTTCTGGAAGAAGGTATGAGTTAAAGAATAAAGTCATGGCTACTGCATAAAAATTGATCTCTCAAGCAGTTGACCTTCTAAAACTCCCGGACATTGAACAATCTAAAACCATTTAGTAAACTTTCCCTACCAAGTTTTTCCTTGGGAAATGGAAATATTTGTTTGAAGTGCCAAAAAAGTTGACCTAAAACTCTTTAATTGTGAAAAAGCCAAAGACCTAAAAGCAATACTTTGCTTTCTAATATATGTTTCCTACAAAATGAAGCAATTTACATGAAAATGCAGCCACACAGCAGAGTAACATAGAAGGTAAATTTGCTAGGTGAGAATCTTAGAACATTCATATAATAGAACTGAAGTTATACATTCAATGCATAGTCATCGGATTTCTTAATTCACCTTAATAAGCTACATTGTTCGATTTGGTACATATTTGTTGTTAGATAAATTCTAATATACCAATTCATTCACCTGTTTTAATCATATAACTAAGGAGATCAAGAAGGGATCAACTTAAAAAGGAAACATGTGCCACAAAATTTCACAAATACAAAATGTAACTTACATGTGTAGCATGGAACTGTAACCGGAATACAACTTTTATTTTTGTCTTCTCAATCTTCCACTTAGTAAGCCTCGACATTACCAGCAAATCAATTAATCACCAGCTGTATGACATAACAATCCCTTTGATTAAACTGCCCCTGCTTATAACAAATAACCGAAATATGACCATATCATTCCAACATTGACAGCTGAGACCAGTTAACAAGCTGGTTCATGTGCAAGTATAACACATGCTTGAAATACAAAGCCTACTGCCAGGATTAAGATCCCATGAACAAGTCTACTTCATCAAGACAGTAACATGATTTGGAAAAAAGATGTAACAGCAAATGGCACAGCTTTTTCAAACCCCCAAACACATACAAGGTCAATTCAGATCACGGCCATTACTTCAGAAACCAACACAAGATCCAAACTGAAAGAGTGTAAGGAGAATATTTGAACTAAAAGCCAAGTTAGAGACATAAAAAATAGCTAATTCCAGAACATACCTTATTCAAAGAAAGGCAAGACCTTTCCCAAAATGCCAAACCCCAGAAACAAACTTCAAAATGCTGACTTGAAAAAAATCTCGGATCGAAACCCTTTATTATTAAAAAAAAAAACAGTGAATTTCAAAATTTTTAACCTCAAAAAAAGACAAAAGCAAAGAAGAGAAAACGCCACTTCACAAACTTAAAAGAAACAAAGATGCAAAAGACCACCTTCAAAAAGACTGACACAAAAGGGTAAAGGAATAGAGTAAAAGAGAATCCAAAACCAAATGCCACAGCCAAATGTAGAAAAAGGAATAGCACCTATAACAAAGCTTCACACCACCACTCTTTTTTTCCTTAATTTTTTTTCTTTTAACAAAATATCTAAACAAATACAAAAAAGAACCCCCAGATTTGTCAGTGGAAAAACAAAAACAAAAAAGGACCCAATTGAGAAAAACAATAATCCATGTAAAAAGTTGACATTTTTAGTCCATTTAACCACTCAAAGAAAAAGAAAACCAAATACATCAGTAAAAAAAGTGCTGAGGAACAATGAGGGTAGGTACCTAGTAGCGGATCTGCAGGTGCTTAAGCTGGAAGAAAGAGTAGACAAATCTTTACAGAGAAGGTTCTGTTTTCAGACACAACCACGGTGAATAAGGAGAAAAAAAAAAAGAGCAAGTTTTGAGAGGGACAGAGAAAAAAAAAGCTGTCTTTTTTATATTTCGAACTGTTGGGTTTCTTTATTATTTGTTGTGTGGGTGTTTTGTAGTAAACTTTCTTGTTGGGTGGGATTTTTGGGAGAGCGTGTGGATGTTTTAGTTGGCGTAAATAAGGAGAAAATGTTGGGGTTTTGCTTTGATTTAAATAAAAAAAAGGGAAAAAAGAAGAGAAATAATAAGGTGTACTGGAGGTTTGTTTGCAGGTAAAATATCAGCTTTCAGGTTTCAAAGGATGGGATTTGATTTGCATTAGCAGAAAAGAGACATCCCGCCAAAGCTTGGGGTTGTTGTCAATTGTTTGCTAATTATTGCAAATTAATAAAATCAGGATTTTTAATTGCCATTATGAATATACTTATGTGGGGTATGAACCCCTTTTGAGTTTACTGAAAAGCCCCCCCTTTTTGGGTTTTTCATTACAGGGATTAATCTGAAGCTTATTTGGAGTTTTTCAGAGGTGTAAAAGGGGTGTAATTGACTGACCCAATGACCATGATTCAGGCATATACGACTGATCTCCACTTCAGACCTAGCTGGACCATTCATATTTCATAATTGAGTTTTGAAGTTTGATGGTTGTTTAGGGGGATCTCTATTCCCTCTGGACCACCATGGATTTACTCAAAATGGTTACAATTTTATTTCTATTTTTCCACTACTTTGGACATTTTTCTTTCCATACCTTATCATGTTTTATTTCTTTTGTTAATGCCAGTGACTCAGTCACTGGTACTTTGGATTTGTGATTGAAATTATATGTAAGTTTGGCTTTTAAAACAAATATTAAATGAGTGTTGGATAAAAGTTTTACCTATAATTTACTTCTGTAGCTTCACATGCTCAAGCTCAATTAATTTGGACTTTTTACTATAACGTAGTCAAGTCTATTTTTACTCTGAAAAGTTGGTATAGCATGATTGAGAGATAACCCTTTAATGAAATAACTCAAATATTGTTGAGTTAATAAACTCAACAGCAGATGGTCTACGAGTCTAGATTTGTCATGGTCTAGAACAGAATATGGTGATAGACTGTAACTTCAAAGCTAGAGCATGCTTGGGTCTACCATTTGGGAAGTAAACTTTGTTCCATAATTCCAATCAAAGTAGTTTTAAGTGTTGCAGAGGTAGACAACAAGTAGCAGCCATAGGAAAAAAATGTAAAAGAAGCATTGGTGCATGATTAGGTTGGTCCAGGAGCAAGATGTGTGCATGAACTCTGGCATAGAAATTTGTCATCGTGGGGTCATATTCAGTTGCCACGATGGACCTTATGCACATGGCATTGTTTTTCTGGTTAAAGGGCCTCCAAATTTCAGAGTTTTCATTATATCTTGTCACACAGGCAAGCTAAAGCTAGCGTCACCACACCCCTTTATCACGTGATACACCCTTCACCATCATGTGGACATTGCACGTGATAGCCCCAGGAAGCACGTGCACCTCCCAAAGATAAAAGTCAAAAAAAAAAGCAGTGGCGTGGTGGGGAGATCAGCTTCTGATTTGATTAGTGGTATTACATTTTAATCCTGTGGAATTGGAGTGGCTTTGTACCCACTCCCCATGAACAGATCTTACATTAGAAACAATGGCAGTGTATCTTTTATGAGATCATGATTTAATACTTTAATCCCAACTTCTTAATCATATATATAATTGGTCTCTTTGACCTTTACTTAATTAAAAAGGGTAAAAAAGAAAGTATAAGGTGGTTAAAGTGGGTTTGGTGTATCAGGCTTAGGCGTGGTTAATGAGAGGTGGAGACATGATTAGTTGTATCTTATTTACTTTATTACTTTTGGATGAAGAGACTCGATTGATATTAACCCTTAGGCCGAAACAGAGAGGCCCAAACTTAGCCATGGGTCCATTTTCTTTCCCATTAAGATGCAGCTGCCATTCATCACAATAAAAAAACATTTTTCACAATAAAAAAGGGGAAAATATATATATATTGATGCTCAATTTATGTACATAAACAAATTTTGCAAGTTTCGACCTTTTTTTTTTGTTTCCTTTTTTTGGCGCAAATAAGAGTACAGAATCATCAGTTCCTCACCACACAGATGCTAAGCTTTGCCTAATATGCCTATTTTTATCAAGCTAAAAGGCCTTTTCCGTGGCCATAATATGCATCAAACCAAAAGGTTAAAGAACCAATAAATTTTAAACAAGGCAAACAAAAAATATCTAGCTAGGACCAAGCCTCATAATTAAAAAAATGAAAAACCAAGAAGGTCCCCCAAGACAACTTTTGTCATCTCATATTTGGTTTTGAGTAGGTTTTTCTGTAGAATCAGCAGATGCAACCTTGGCAGAATGGCTTTTCTTAGACACCCAGAAGAAACAACCACCAGGGATCTTCTCTTCATCGAGAATCCTATCAGTCTTTGCCTCTTCCTTCTCCATTTTCTTCATTTTCTCTTTATGCAGAGATCGCATCACGTAAGCTTCTGCTAGACCAACTCCTGCAAAACCAACTCCAGCCATTGCCTAACTGACAAAAACTTGCACTAGGAAATCTGGGATTTGCTGGATTGCTATATATAGAACAAAGATTCAGACCGGTTAGATGATTGTTAACCAGGCTTGTCTTGGAGGGCAGAATTAGGATGGACTGAATGGGATTAATTTTCTGGAAGGAAATTGGAAAATTTATAGGCTGCTGTGGCGGGGAGAAAGAGGTAGCGAAACTTCCCTGTAGGGTCATGTCTCATGTGGGATGAGGTTTGAATTGGCTTGGAGGCCAAGGAATCGGTAGCCTGAAATTGTTGAATTCTTTTCTGTGGTGTCCGTTGCTAGGACGTGTCGGATTCCAGCTAGAGTGGGAGGGTGGCGTCAGTGAATATGTGCTAAAAGAGTTGACCCTTGAAGTCAAAAGTTTTGTAGATGGCGTCTGCGTCAGCAAAGATGTGGCATTTCTCCTCCTTTTCCTTGCGGTGTAGGCTCGTCCTTCGACCCCCTCCTCCTCGTTGGCACTTGGTAGCCCTTTCTCTTTTCCTTAGTGCCATGCCTCCATGCCTTTGGAAATTTCTCGTTTCGATTGTTTAAAGTCTATTAAACAATGAAATGAATCAAATCCATCACATTGCTTAACCTATCAAGAAATCGATGGGTAGTGGTTTAAATGAAATTTAAGTTGGATCATCAAGTGTCACAGTATCATGATGATTCAATTATGACTTGGACTGGGGTAAAGAAATTATACACAGATAAAGCTTTTGTGGGAAATGTGATTAGAATTTGTTTTAAAAGATTTGGTTATTATTGAATGGAAGTTTGTTATTCAAATAATAACAATTATTATTATAAATTAAAAAGTAAGAGAAAAAAACTTTAATGGAGGTGAAATTTTTTTATCATCATTCTAATACTCCCTTCACATGTAGAGATAATGAATTTAACATGTGACAATTCATCAAGAAAGAAACAGTGGCATGAGTCTCATCTTATATTTGAAATTGTGTATATTATAAAGGTAATAAATTCAAATTGATTTAGTGTAAAAATCTATATTATATATAAAATTAGCCCCCTTTTTCTAGTAGATATATATATAAAAATCTATACAAATTACATAATTTGAGTCAAAATTTATCCATTTTCTTTCTTTTAAATCGAAAATATAATCGGTATTCTTAAATTATGTTTGATTTATAAAATGAAATAAATTAATTTGCTAGATGTATATTTGAGAAAGGAATTTAAATGGACATGCACTCAAACTATAGATTTAGAAGAGTTTATGTTTCATTTCCATTATGATTTATATTATATTAATTTTGCTTAAAAACAATTTTGAAAGTTTCATTCAAGCAAGTATAAAAAGGAGTTATTGATAAAATTATATATATATATATATAGATATATTTATTTAGTGTGAAATAATATTCGAATCTAGATTCTCCTTTCCTGCCATCTCTTTTTTCTTTTTGGTTTCAAGTTTGTGTTTTGAGCTTTTGATTAACAGCAATGGCGAATAAGCCAAGCCGAGGATTGGTGTTATACGGGGATGGGTTGGCCCGTTTCATTGAGCCATCGCATGCCCATCTCCACTCTCTCGCATCAAAAGCCAACTGTGGTTTTTTGAGCCTCCCTAATGCTCCTCCTTCAGAAAGCGAGGATGATAGGATAGTAAGAGAGTTTGCGGTACTGATGGATGCGTGCGAGGCATATTTTAACCAGAATGGGCAACTTTCTACTGAAGCGAAGTCCCAGAAGTCATCCTTGATTCCAACCATGTCAGACAGGTTTATGGGAATGAGAGCTGCTCTACAGACCAACAGTTCTAGTCTGAAATCTTTTGGAGAAAAACTTGGCTTTGATGTGTTGCATTTGAATGGATTATTTGATATCAATTTTACCTTCGCACAGTCAATTAATTATATGGCTTCGGAATTGTTGGCGTTGCTTGGATTTCAAGAAGGAAAGATAGTAGATACCAATCAATTTGATTTAGTAATTGTGCATATTGGATCTGGGGAGAATTTATAGACTGAAAAAGGCAAAGGTACTGCAGGTGATATAAAATTCATGAATGCTTTAACTTGGGGCTATTATGCATGTCGCTCAGCTTGGAACTGAAATTACTTCCTGTTTACATTTGTCCCTCGTTATGAGCTACGGCTACGTGTCAAAGGCTGATGGGTCTGGTTTGTCAATATTAAGCAATAATTATGAGAATAATTCTCCTCTTTCAACACTCTTTCCTCATCAAAGTCCAAGAAATGATGTTAGGCCTCATAGTCCCATGTTAGTTGCTCAATATCAAGAAGCTTTAACTCGTAAGGATATGGTAGAGATTTTTTCTTTTGAAGATTTCAAAAAACGTTCAGGAAATCTCACCATACCAGCTGACAAATTGTTGCATGAGATAGCTTTTATGCTTTGGAAGGCACCCAAGTATGGGGCATAGGAGTAACTTTATTTGTCTCCATGACTTAAAACTATTATAATGTTATAATTCAGTTGAAGCTTAAATTTTATAAATGTAAAAGTGTTTCAAATTCATTTTCATTGTGTTATGTTGTGTCTTCTGTCACGTTGAAGTCCGATTTGGGGCAGATTTTGCACATCAAACCCCATCACAATTTTCAGAGTTTTTTACTTTGATAGTTCGGACAATTTAGGCTGCTATTTAAATTAATATGTAGGATGTTGCAATAAAAATGTATGTTCTGTTCTAATCTCTTGTTGAGGAACCATCCTCAACCATTTAGTCTTGCGTGGAACATCATGTCCCTTGCAATTCCCGCTTGTGATCCGAACACATGCATGCAAGGTTGTTTACTCGCTATCACGCTTAGTTGTTTGCTTACATGTTCTAAATTTTTCATTAGCTGCTCCAAGAACCACTGACTCATGGAATTATGATGACTATTGACTTTTCTTTCCTGGTTTCAACCTTATAGTCGTTGATCCTAAAATGGGAAAATGGAAGTGCTCGTCAGAAATAAGTGTGTGTAATCACATTCTTTAGTGTATCACGCATTCATTGTAGCTTTTGGCAGTCTAGAGCTTACCGTTCCTAGGTGCCGGCTCAAGGGTAAAATCATTAAAACGGCGGCTTTAGGTTTCTAATTTTATGATAATAATATAATTAATTATATTAAAAAATTATAAAAATTAAATTATTTATTTATTTATTTTCTTTCTTCTTTATATTTTTATTAATTTTTAATTATTTAATTCATTTCTCATATAAAAATCAAAATAATTAATAAAATAATAAATTTTCTCACTTCTCTACTTATATACTTAATAAATTAAAATTTTTTATCACTTCTCAATTCTTACCATACTATTAATTCTCAACTCTCTATTTCTCTTATTTTCAATAAAGAACATTAATACATATTTAATGATCTCTAACAATTTTTTTTTCAACTATTTCTTTTAGTTGTAATCAATCTTTTATTTTTTTATATATAAAATCAATTATCATTTTTTTTCAATTTATAATATCTACTTTAGAATTTTTCTTTATCACTTACTTTTTTTTTTAACTTTAACTTTTTTCTAAATAATACGCAGAAAGTCTATTATGTTATTATCTTCATAATACCATGAGTTTCAATTGCTATTTCAATAAATATTCAATAACTAGGTATTATAGTTTTAATCTTTTTGAATTTAGAGTTTATATTATATTATTATATTATCTCAATTATATGTGATAGTTGATTTATTGAATTAAAAATTTTAATAATTTTTTTAAATTTCAATGAAAAAACTTCATTTGAATATTTAACTTTAAGTTTTTGAGATTATTGAGTCAGATCCTACTCTTGTGGCTTTCTTCTTGTTTATGCATTTTCACACATTTGGTTTCCCGATTGCTTCAGGTGCCCAACTTTACCACACCGGTATTTCTTATTCCTTCCTATTAAGGAACTTGCTCACAGAGAGGGACAAATAGAGAGAATTGCGTAATATTGTTGAGAGAGCTATTCCCTGCATGCGGAGTTGGATATATGTCTAATTGTTTACTGGTTGAAGAACCCTCTTCACCTTTTTGGTCTTTGTGTGTGTTTGCATGAAGTTAAAACAGAGCTGGTTTGCAACTTATCATTTCACTTATCAGGCTTTATTTGAGGTTTTTAGGTGAAAGTAGATGGCTTATTGATCAACGATCTTGACCTGTCTCATCATTTATGCATGCCTTCTCCTAAGATGTTGCCATGGAAAAGGGATGAATGTATGCTGTGGCTCCTGCCTGGATTCTTTTTGTTGCTTACGCTGTTGAAATTTTGCAGGAAACGGATTCAGAATACTTTTCAGAATTTAGGTCTGTAAAAGATAAACAGATCGTGATAAGCATTCCAGGAGGTTACCCAAGGAAGCCCCCAAATTGGAGATATTATTTTATCAACAGAGTACTTAAATAAATTCATGACATATGGTTGTGAGTAGTAATAAATTTTTTGCCATGCTGTGGAAGATCTTCTTGACCGAAAGATAAAGATAAATTATTTTCCCAATATTTCCTTTCTTTTGTTTAAATTAAAAAAATCATTCTATATGTTAATTCATCTTTTTAAGATTGTGAAGTAACCTCTTTTATTCTGATAAAAGTTTTATAGACATGAATTGCTCTCAACCACGTTTTTGGCAAACCTCTTAAGCTAGTTTACAAAAGAAGACAAATTCTTTTTAAGAAACTCTTATAAACATTATTTAGTTTAATTGTATTTCTCCTTCATTTTGTTTGTTACTGATTTCTTAATTCTAATTTTCTTAAGAAGTTAAAAACCGTTATCAATAATGTAAAAGTAGTTGTAGTTTGCCTTAAAACCTTATTTAACATCTTTCTGAGGTTGCTTGCAAAGGTTATTCTGAATCAAATTAAGTTACAAAATTGTGTTAGCTAGTTTTAAGTTTGTAAGCTTTTAATTTTGAAATTAATTTATTATGGTTTTACATATGGGTGAGAAGTTAGATAAGAGATTTTAAAATATGCTAGTTTTGTGATTATAATATTTCTTTTTTCTGATAGGATACGAATAGTTATATTTTTTTTATATCATGCATACTATTTTTTTTTTCTAATTTTAACCTTGAAATTATTTATTAGTACACGTTATCAGGAAAAGAAATAATATAATTATATATATGATATCATAAATCAAATAGAGTCAGGTCAGATAATTGGTAAGTTTTTTGTTCTCAACCTTAAATTGCTAATAAATACACGATATCATTCTTTTTAATGTGCTCAAAGAAATGTCATACTAATGGAAATTGAATCATATTGGTTGTTATCCTTTTCAATTATCATCACCATTCACCAATCTATAGTTATCACCAACAAAAAAAAAGTCATTAATTATTAATTAAAAATAGAAAAAGCTTAGCTAGATCATCATGTTTCTAAAGACTAAGGCATGCTTGATCACTGTGCAAGCAGATGGAAGATTAGGTAACCAAATATATCCAAGGCACTAGACTTTCTTAGCATCAGAAACAGAGCATTTTTCAACTGGTTGTTGCTTTGGCTTTCTAGATTCCATGAATATCATTTGTTCTAAAATCATTCTTCCACTTATTAGTCTCTTAGATTATTAATCTGCCGATCCAAAATCAAGTCTGGCGCATATGAGATGCCAATTGTTTGGCTAAAACATTAACAATAAAGAGGCCAAAAATTAGTTAAGAAAGTTCACAAACCATTTTAACAATACAAAGGCTGCTATATACAAATTCAAGCATGAAACAATAAGTTAATCACACCAACCTGACAGCAGGCTAAGCATAGTAAATAACAATCATTAGATTAATACAAAGCTGATTGCAACGAGCTCAAAGGATCCGCCGGTCGATGTTACAATATGGTTGAATTCACATTTCAGGCAGGAGCACATATTGTTGGGTGCTGTTGACATCTAGGTGAGTCCGAAATGAACGGAAAGCAAGGAAAACCCCTTACTCTACTAAGCAGTATCTTACACGTCCAAAAAGATGAGGAGAAACAGAGTGCAGTATACCAGGCAGCTGATAATTTCAGTTAACCTTTATCGTGGTCACAACTCTTTACTTCGTTTCTGCCATGCTCTGATGTTGATACATGACTGGGATGTATCTTCTTGAACATCGATGAGAAACAACCACCAGACTTTTTCATTGCAAAATCGATTTCCTCTGTTCTTGCTTTTTCTTCTTCCTTTCTCTTCATTTGCTCTTTATGGAGCTTCCGCATCACATACACTTCAGCAAGTTCGTATCCAGGAGTTGCCATGGCCCTAGAGGCTAGCTAGAACTATGCAAGTGATGAGATTGGGAGGGAAATTAATTTATAGATGTTTGTATCAGCTTGGGGGGCAAGCAAGCAAGCAAGCACAAAATCAAGAGCTGAGTTTCTTGTTTATTCTGACTATTTCATGGCGGCTTGGAATTTTTTCAAGACAGGGACAAGAAAGGGAAGGGGCAACGTATAAAGTGGTCAATTTTGTTGGAAGGTGGGATTTTAGCTTGTTGAGCAAGGGATGATATTATACTTGCTGATTTACAGACTTTTTTATGCCTTTGGAATTTTGCAATCGTGGCATTTCCTGACAAGGACTTGAGGATAAAGCCTAAGAGATGAGACTAGATGCTATAAACTGTTCTGCCTTTTTCTCCACTTTACTTTCCTGATTCCAAAATTACAGTTCTTTGAGAGTTGTTTGGGGTGCTTCTGTAGAGATCTAAATTCCATCATAATTATAGAAAATTTGATTGTCAAACTGAAAATTTCTACTTCAAACGCTTTCACTCAGTTTAAACAATTTCTTTTTCTTGAAGTTCGTTTAACCTGATGTTGAAATGCTAGGAACATAAGTTTTCTTGCTCAACTATAGCGTGGGTAGCTAGTTAACTTTCCTGCTTCTTACTTACTTCTTAGATTAGATTTCTACTTCACATAGTTTGCATCTCAGCAATGAAACCAGATATTCAAACAAAATTCTAATAGTTTCAGAGTGCGACATGGAGTTGGTATTGATGCAAATGAATATCTAACAAGGAAAAGTGCCCAATCGTTTTCTTTTGAATATTCGATGGAACATTATGATAAGGTTTAGAAATTACTTCAACTTTGGAAATGTACTCAAAACTGTTGAACTGAACATATTTCTAGTTTGATGACCAGCAAAGAACATAAGCTTCAACTAAATTCCATGAACATTTGGTGCGCATAGTCATTGTTATCTAGACAAAGGTTATTTCATCAATTAAAATTGGACCGGAAACCCCTCATCCTTTAGTCACTGAAGGATATACATACATACATACATACATATATATATATATATATATAATTCATCTTAGAAATTTTTTTATCCTCCTCGAAGCTTCTATTATACGTTCTCTTTGACCAAATGAACTGACTCTAATATACTGTTCGCCACCAGGACCAAATCCCCTGCCTGGAACAGTCAC